GCGGCGAGCGGCAGACAGGCACACTCTCGGGGAGGAGCCGGCGGCCCCGGGACCGTCGCCGCCGCCAACGCTTGAACCCGCCCATCTGGTTCCTTCTCCTCCCCGCGGGCGGGAGCCAGTGCCAGCCCGGAGCCCAGGACAGCGAACTGTCCACTCCCGGCCGGAGCGCCCCGGGGACACACCTCACTGTCCGCTTTCCTTCACTCGGCCTTGGAGGTCCCCTGGGGTGGATCGGGGTCTGCTGCTTACCCGACCCCTTCTTCCCCGACCCCCGGGCAGGAGAAGACCTGCAAGGGGCTCTCCCAGCTGAGCGGGAAGAGTGATCCCGCCCTGGTCTGGGAGGTGGGGCTGGGGTAGACGTGATGTCGAAGAAGGTGTCACCTTCTGCAGCCAAGTCCTGTCCACACTCCCTCCCCCTCTCCCTGCTGGCCTGGGAGGAAGATAAATTAGCTGCAGCAGCAGAAGACAAAAGCTAATGGTGACCAGACTCCATATAAACAGAAAATCCAAGCTACCACGACTGTATTTAGGGCAGCCACCTAGAATCCCTGTGGTCTAGATAAAGTCAAAGCTGTCACCTCACCTAATGAGCAAACGTCTCTTGAACCAAAAGGAATAACAACTAGACTTTCGCATTGATCCGTGGGCAGTTTTACTAATACCCACTCCAAATCAATGCTCTGAGTAGAATAAAAAATCAGAATCTTTGGCCCTTTGGTCTTTTCTGTAAATGAAAGAAGGTGGGGGAGTGGGGGTCGAGGGGCATGTTATACAAGTACTTCAAGATAAAACAGCATGACCGAATAAGTGGCCCAGAGAAAAGCAACGATTGCAAACTTTGTACAATGGCCTAACTAGAAGGAAAGTCTCTTGAAGGCAGCCGTGTCCATATGTGCCGAACTTGGTAGGTACTCAGAAAACATTTGTTGACTGAGAAAAATAGATTAGATATATAAGATTAAATTGGTGCACTTGAAATAAATAATCCTTTTTTAAATGTTTTCTGATAAAATAGGATACCGAATTAAGGCCAATGTACTGGTTCTAGGGGAGCAATCAGGTGAACGGCCTGCCCATTCCACAGATAAATCAGCATTGTCTCTCTTCAAGCACTGCAGCAGGAGAGCCCAGCTGTAGACTCTGTTCCTACTCAGCTTCTGAACTGGGACAGGTCACGTAGCTACATTAAACCTAAATTTCCTCATCTATAAAACAGGACCAGATTTTATCATCGATGTCCCTTGCAGCTCTGACTTTGTATGATCCATGACTGAGAAAAGCTCTAAAACTAGTAGTAATAGGCACATGACACACAAAAAACTTTTTAATCATCATGGCTTAGTGAAAAAGTAATGCGGCAGCAGTAGAACACCAGAATCTAATTGCTCATACCTGGGGATTTAGATTCATCTTCCTTTGGCAGAGGACCCGAACACATTGCAGAAGTAAATGCTATCCATTACCATAAACATTCCAGACATAGAAAGTCTAAGGATAGTTGCTGTGCCTTAGTGCTCCATCAGTTGGTTTAGGTGTATGTAGATCAAAGGTGGCCTCATATTTTTTTGCCTTCCTCCCATTGAGAGGTATAGTCAAATTAATCAGGGCTGACCTCAGTGGCTTGCTTTGGAAAAAAATAGAATATTTGGAATTTTCAAGGTTAAGCTATGAAGAACCTTGCATCCTCTACTAGGGTCTCTTGGAGCATACTCTCTGGTATCCCTGAGCTTCCATGTAAGAAGTTCAACTGCCTTGAGATTGCCATGCTGGAAAGGCCACTGTGTATGTCTCTAGTCACTAGACCCAGCTGAATCCTGCCTTCCAGCATCCTGTGGTGAACCCTGCTGGTTTTTATTGGATCCTCCAGACCAGCCCATCCATCTACCTCTCAATGATCACATTGGTGTCATGTGGAACAAAGGAACCACCCAGCAAAGTCCTCAAATTCCTGACCCTCAAATAGTGAAATATAATAAAATGGCTATTAAGTCACTAAATTTTGCAATAGTTTCTTATCCAGCAATAGGTAACAGAACAGTGAAAAGTATCTGTGTAAGCCTGTACCTGTTTGTATATATAACCTTTTCCACTACCTCTTGGCAAATGTCTCATTTTTTTTTTATAGGGCTATAGATTTTTGTGCCAAGTAGTGGAACATATTTTCTAAAGAACATAATTTTATATAAAGTACCATGATCTTAAGTAATAATTTTAAAAAGTAAGATTACAACAATAACTGATCACATCGTATCCTACCTATGTATTTAAGAAAGTTAATTCTGGAGGTCTCTCATCCCAAGGTTCTGTACACAGGAATTACCTTATCTGAAAACTTAGTTTTTCATCATTCCTACCTTTAAGAGTATTTAGTATTCCTGCATTGATACTAAAGGAGTGTGTCTTTGCTTCATATAAAAAATCCAATACTCAGCCAGTGCCAGGCACATATTAGTTTATCAGTATATTTTAGCTCTAATCATTATTTATCCAATATGTCTTCAAAGAATATTGAATTCAACAATAATATAAATAGAATGGAATGAAGAGAAACTACTATCACAATGGCCTATTATAAAGTATAACTTCTGACTCCTAGATCTAGAATCTACCTTAAGCTATACAGATACTATAGCCATGCTCCAATGTAACTATTTTCAAGCTTGTCATGGTTTCAACCATGTCCTTGAAGGGTGAGGCTATTATAAGAAGGAAACTATACTTTGAGAACTAAACTTTTTTTAGATAAAACCCAAGATACATGTGACATATCTTACATTGTTTTTTTATAGTGAATTATGTTTTAGGAAAGTTAAGAGAGAAGCTTTATTGTTACATAATTTCCTTTGAGAGCCTTTCAAATAAAAGGAAACTGCAGATCAAAGGCCATTTTATCCAAGCTCAGGAGTTAAATTCTCAGTAGTTCCCAGGAACTTAAGACTTATGAAAAAAATAGTGTTATAAAAATACTATCCCTTTTTTAATCAAAACAACCCTATTTCTATTATTTCCGGCAGGACTTTTGGTTGTTTTTATTATTTTGCACTAAAGTAAAAAATGTAGAGAGTAGATAACTGGCATCATCTACAGGCTTGAGAAGCTGGAACTGCCCTGGCTGCATATGTTAGGTGCCTTCTGCAGGCTTTTCAGGCCACTGGAGTGTCAGCTAATACCTCAAAGCAATAATGTAGTTCATGAAAACTAAGAAGCAATTGATTCTAAGGTGCATCTCATTTCAGAGATATTTAAATTTGAAAAACATTCTACAATCCATGCAATATAGTGGTTTGCTAAGAGAGAAGTCTAACATTTTTAAAAGACTAATTTATTCCTATGAAATAGTTTACAACTCAAAGGCCAATTCTAGATTTATATCCAATACTGAGTATTTTATAGCTTAAAGCCCTTTCTAGCAATCACATTAAAATTATTAATAAAGCAATGGTAAAAAGTTCACAGAATTTATTAGTGTATAACAAGATATCAGTGGAGGTAAATTGAAATTAATATAATAATTCAGTAATAAATCATCATTTGTATAACTTAGCAAATAAATTCAGCCTGTAGACTAAAAGTAAAGCCATGTTTAAATTTTAAAAATAATAACATTTGTTCAATAACAATGTTTAGGGTCCTTATTTGGACAATTGAATGGCATTTAGACCCACATTTGGGGTTTTGTATTCGATTTTAGTTGCTGAACTGGAAAGATCTTTTCTAGCTGCATTTCAATAAAACAAAACATTAGCATTTTTAAAATAAAATTAGTATAAACACTATGAAATAGAGGAATTTTGACCTCAATCAGAAAAAGGAAAAGAAGAAATTTTGCCTATCACCTCCAAAGTTATTCTTATTTTCCATGAATAAAAATACATATGTATCCTCAAATCTCCCTTTTCCAATTATTATCATTAAATACTATTTTTATTACTTTATGTAATTCTTATTCTTGGCCCTTTAAATTTATCTGATCACTTAAAAGCATAACTGTAACTGAATAAGAAGTGGGCATGTAAACACATTCTGTGCTTTTCCTCAGCTCAGAAGGGTACTTGTTATTAAATCTACAGCCAAGGAATATGTGGTTCTCGTCAATTCCTCCAGGCTTCCTCACAGTTTCTGCCCTTCTCTTTTACAGTTACTCTTAATCTTGTGAAGAGACTCCTGGAGACAAGTTGTAGGAATGGACCTCCTCCAGGCTACTCAGAGCAATCTCCCCTAGGAGGACTCATCAGAATCAGTGACAAGCTGTCACTGAGCCCACAGACACAAAAGAGGGAATGCAGAGAGACCCAAAGGCAAATATTTGGCACCTTCTTCGGGAATTGATGGCAGCCTCAA